AACTCCTTACCAACCGTTGAATTTGAAAGCCAATTCTCTGTTCTTGAATTAAAATTTTACACAAGATACGAAGAATACATTGATGATGTGAGAAGAGAAGACCCTGAGAAATATCAAAAATACAGGATGTGGTTTAACTATTTTGACACGCACGCCCGTTCATATCACAATCTCTTCAACGACGGTGTACATTATTATAATAGTGATAGCTGGGAAATAGTAGAACACAGGAGAGAATTTTACGAACTTGATTTTGAGTTTGTAATAAATTTTTTAAACAAAAAAATAAAACATATTTACCTCTTAAGTTATGATGATCTGCTAGAATACACTGAAAATAATCTTGTATTTTAAATATTTTTTGTAAATATTTGTATTATATATTTAATTTTTGTAAATAAAGCATGTGATTGTACGTAAAAAAATTGATCAGCATGATTGCGTATTTGTATGAATCCGGATTTGGCATTCCGATAGTGATGCATGTGAGATTACATAAGCGGGTGTGACTCATTGATGATCGACGTTACAAATACCTGAGATTGCGCCCAATCTCACGATTTTTTCACCCTTTCATTCGTGGTTTTATCAGAGAGACGGTGGAGAACACCCGCATCTTAATATCCGAACAGGGAGAAGCGTAGTCTCTTGTGAGGGAGATGAACACGATGTGTGGCAGCTAAATGACGCATGAGATAACCATCTTTTTGGTGAAGCGTATTCACGTCTCTCTGGTTGACACGGGTGAAATGGTCAAATCTTTTATCGCTTCAGATGGTCGTTATTAAGTTTTGGCCAGGCTCTCCACCTCGAGGGCGAACGAAAAACTTAGTGTTTGCATTTTAAATGCACCTTGAGGAACGTCTCGAGGAACGGATGTGTTTAGGCTTTTTTCTACCATAGAGAGTAAAAAGCACTTTCAAATGTTAGTCATCTCGGGGCATACTACATGGATTCACCGGTTGAATCCTAAGGCTCATAACGCTGAGATGCGACTCGGTACACTGATATTTAGGCTTTTGGCAGCTGTACCTGAACTACAAAAGTCAAAATTTACATGAGTTTTACGATCGTGGTTATTGTTCATTCATGGCTTGGGATCCGAACAT